GACTTCCAAAGTAACAAATGTATTTTACATTTTTATTGACCATTCATGTAGTTTCCTCTACAAATTATCTTTCTAATATGTCTAAACATTTTTCTAATGACATTTTATCTTTTATATAGTGATTTTTAGAGACCCTCTTGTGATAAAATTGCATATTATTTGATTGATTTATATGTTGCAGATATCTACCCATATTTAAAAAATTTAAACATGCTATCATTTTCTTTTGTTGTACTAGTGAAAACAAAAGATCTGGCAGAATATTTTAGTGTCAGAGTACCTGGAATCAAATTGCAGTACTAGAAAGCCTAGCTAGGAAATTATAATCCAGTTCATTTATCCTTCTGTACTTAAACATTATTCTATGTAAAATGGGAGTAAAATAGTGGAGCATACTGAGTAGACAATAATTGATTTGGGAGAATTCTAAAATACTGAAACTGTTCTAAATCTTTCTTTGGATTATTTAGCATGGGAATATGTACATGTTAAATTAACAAAGACTGCAAGTAATATGTGTGTACCTGTTTGTATTTAAGTTATGCATCTAGTAAAATCTAAAAAAAGAACAAAAGCAAGTGTTAAAAATGGTGTTTTTTCTAATATATATGTATATATATGTGTGATTTAAATACAGGTGTGACTACTTTATAGTTGATGAATTAATCCATTAGACTCTCCACTTAGTGTCACATCTTATTGCAAGTTCATAAATACCAGACCCTGGATATCACCAAGACAGAGAGAAGCAGGGAACAGAGTGAGCTGTGGGTCTGAGCCCCTCTGCCACTTATTAATGGTGTAATATTAAGTACAAAACCACGGTAGACCCTCAGGAGTTGTTAGCTTAGGAGTAATTAATCCTTATTAACATTAAACCACAGGATAAATATAAAAAGTATAACCTTTAGAGTCTTTGTTACTGGGTATTATTACTTAGAAATGCCAGCTGACAGAGACAACCTTTATATTTCTGGACTTCTAAACTTCCTGGCATTTATGTTTGTTTTCTTTGATTTAAAAACTGAAAAGTACAAAAAAAAGAAACAAAAATATGTCTTTAAGAGCAAAAAATATAATGAATTCCCGGTTAAGCCCTATCCACATTTTTAAAAAGTACTAATTTCCGAGGGAAGGGATCCTGGCTCAGCCCTTCTCCACCTGAGGCTGTCCCTTGTACACTCATTCACAAATCAATTTAGCAGAATGCCCACAGGGGTAATAAGGAAAAGCTTGACTGAGATAGAAATGTAAAGATCCTTAAGCCTGAAATGGAGAAAAAACATATTCATTTGGTTTTAACTAAGGCCATTGGCTGAGTTTGAAATTGAATTTTAGTCTAGAGTTTGAGTAAGCATTTCAATCAGTAATGCACCATTCTTCACTTTTGTTTGTTCAGTAGTGGTGAAGGTAAGGTCGGGGTTATTGGATTTTATATATAAAATTCTGACTCAGAATATCCCAATGTAAAAGTTAAATAAACGGCTCTTAAAGTAACACAAGCGGTAGCACAGCGGTAGGGCGTTCGCCTTACAAGCGGCCAACATGGCCGACCCGAGTTCGATTCCTCCACCCCTCTCGGAGAGCCCGGCAAGCTACCGAGAGTATTCGATATGCCAGACACAGAAACTTAGAATTATATTTATAAAAAATATTCAGTCCTGTCCAGATTATATAAAATATAAGGAGGTTTCTCTGTATCTAATTTTTACACTGCAATATACTTTTAGTATCCTCACTGTGTATGTTTGGGTCTACATTTTATTTATATATTTATATTAATTTTATTTTCCCAGATCACTATTTAATAAATTATATAATTGTATGCCTAAAAAAAGGATATTAAGTTTAAAATGAACAAACAACAAAGCATTTAATTATATTATTTTGGCAAACATTTATTTAAAACAAATTTTAGAAGACAACCCAGAAAATTATTATTTTATTGTGTGCTATGAATGTAGAATGTAGTACCAAAGTTTCTGCTAATTACTTATCTCAATCTACATACTGTAGAATGTAGTGGTAAAGTTTCTGCTAATTACTTATCTCAAGAACCAATTTTTTTCTTGCCTACACACATTAGTAATGTGCGTAGGTAAAAGGTGGATTTTGCAAGAATATCTCCTAGTTAATAATATGCATATATACAAAATGGTGTGGCTATTCTGACAAATTAGACTTAGTAAAAGAAATGTGGAGTAACCAACCAAAAAAAAAACATCTTTTTTGAACAGATGCTTGGTTATAATGATGAATTATTGTATGTTTAAGCAAAGTGATCAAAGTGGCTAAGTGTCTTGAGTTGATAGTGGATGCAACTTCTTTGATACTATACTGTATCAATTAATTAACCATTCAACAATAGAATTATTGCTTATTTATAATTTACTCTTGCAAAGTAGTTCATAAGTTTCTTTACATATAGTTTACATATGTGTATCAGAGTTAAAATTGATTTAATTTCATTAATATAGGCATTGAATTTAGATTATTTTGAGTGCTAGATACTAATAATGATAAAATATAGGTACAATTTAGGTACAAACTACTTTTAAAACAATTCAGTTAAATGTTTTTTTTCAATGTACTCAGAAATAAAATTGTCTCTAAAGAAGAATATGCTACTTTGCGTCTGTTGAAATTCAATTTTATAGATAAAGTGATCAGAACATCATTCAATTCAAACAAAAGAATTAAATCTAGAGAATATGTCACATTTGCATGAAGTGCCTAGTTTCAAAATACCTCCTACACAAATTTGAATTGAATACGATAACTGTTTCCCAGTTTTACTGAAAGACCAAAAGAATTTGCTACTCACCTGTTTATGATAAAAACACAATGACTACTTTGCTTCAGAAAATCTTTGATAAAAATTTTTAGTTCATTGCTATTTCAAAGTATTATTTTAAGGGGACCTCGGTATATCTAAATGACGTATAGACATAATACCTCTGATAGAAATGGGATCCATTTATGCACAAACAGATATAGTGCAACATGATGAGAAAACTACCTCTAAATCAATGACTTCTTTCTGCTTTTAATTTTTCTTCAGCTGATGGCTGAAAGGAAAATTACCCCTACTGTTCTCTGAGATTATTGTCATAGAAGTATTATTCTGATACTTTTCAATGACTAATAGAATAATATTGGGAAGAAGATTGGGAAGAAGAATGAAGTTTATTCTGCACTCCTGATTCACACATTTGTGTTTCTGTTGGTTTTCTCAGGTTCTGTGCATTGTCCTTGTTGGTTCTACGTAAATAGGGGTGAGATTATGTAATATATATTTGGGAGCTAGGTATACTTTGTATAAACTAGAGTGTATACCATGGTCTCTATACTCAATAATCATCCAAGGAAAAGGAAAAGAGATAGTAATTTTTTAATGTTTGGGTTAAAGTGCTAACAAAAATTGAGCAATGATTTTACATTGTCTAGCAAGATTTGAAAATATTATAGAATTTAATGGATGAGTATGTTCATTAACTAGCAAAAGGATAAACACTGTGGTGCAGACATACAAAGGAAAAATGCTCAGTATTACAAAAGAAAAATGTATTAGTTAATGCAACAACATGGATGAATATTAAAATCATTATATTGAATTTAAGATTTCAAACACAAAATTACCAAATACTGTATTTCCTTTACATGGACTTTAAGAGAAGGCAAAAGCAAAGTATAGAGGTCAAAATCAAACTAGTAGTTTTAGAAGCTTGGATTGGAAGGCAGAGATTGACCACAGAATTGCAATATAGTTTTAAACTGTATTTTTGCATATTTGGAGATAAAGAAAACAAATAGCCAATATTTATTAAATGTTTAGTGTGTCCTGCTCTGATTATGCTAAGTATATGTGATAAGTTATCATGTTTAAATCTCATTGTAGCTGTAAGATATAGACACATATAGGCATAGTTATTACACAAATACTCAAAAACAGTTAAAAACTTTTATCTGAATAACATGGAGATCAATAATGTGTAAGAACAAATTTTGGTGCATAGATATTATTGCTTTTGTAAGAACAAAAGTTGGTACACAGATACATTTTTAGTGTTGCTTGTCTTGTCCTGAAGATAGGATAAAAAATAACTGACGTCTGATTTAAACTCTGTGAACCTTGGGAGCCAGATAGTATAGTAGGCAGGGCACTTACCTTGGCATGCTGTTGACATGGGTTAAATCCCCAGCATCACACATAGTTTCCCCAAGCACCACTAGGATGATCCTTGAGCACAGAGCCAGGGGTAAGCCCCAAAAACTTATAGGTGTGTCCTCAAAATCAAAAACCAAACAAACTCTGTGAACATCAAATAATAAACTCATAGTATGTCAGTATATATTAGATGACAGGTAAGTGGTTATTGACTAAATTGATATCTCTGCATAATGTGTACTGGTGGAGGGATGGGTGTTTGATCATTGTGTGATTGTAACCCAAACATGAAAGCTTGTACCTATCTCACGGTGATTCAGTAAAATTTAAAATAATTAAGTAAGATTTTTATTCTATAGTTTTAAGTTCAAATAGTAATAAACAGCTTAAGATTGACATTGGATGACACAATGTTAATTTTCATAGCTGCTCCACAGACAAAGCTTAGTTTGCAGGCTGTTTTGAGCAGTAGTATAGACCCACTTCTGTGTATATATATTGCAGGCATTAGCAGAATCTTGCATTTTGATAAACCTTTAATTATGTTTAAGGGTTATCAAACAGAGACAATTGTTGATCCTAAATGAAAAAAAAACGGTTAGTATGCAGAACCTAATGGGTACATTTATCATTTTCTTATCATACTAAGCTTCAGGCTTATTGTAGTCTATTTTCCAAGAAAGTGGAAATGCCATTTCTTAGTATAAAAATGTTCTTTATAATGTGAGCTGTAGATTGAAGCTGTACAAATTGCCTCTTTAATGAAATAGGCAACATTCCAATTGAACTGACAAGCTTTATTTCTATTTGTTGTATTTTTTTCTCATTTCAGATGGACCCGATTCAGAAAGCTGTAATAAATCATACATTCGGGGTTCCTCTTCCTCATCGAAGAAAGCAAATCATATCATGCAACATTTGCCAGTTGAGATTTAATTCTGATGTAAGTTTATCATTTAGCATTCACCAAAAAATACATATACATATAATGCTTTTCTAATCTTGCAGAAGAGATTTCTTAAATATTTTTCCTCAAAAACCCAAGTATGTCAAGTTTCAAAGATAATATTTTAACTCCTTATGTGCTTAGATTTTATTACATTACTATTCGTAGTTTATTCTGAAAAATACACTTACAATTATGTATAATATATATATCATAATACTATATAAAATTGTTTTATATGCATATATACTCTATCATACAATAATATAATATAGACAATAATATGCAGTGTATTAATATTCATGTCTATACAAACTTATATACTTAAATATTAATTGTTATTTTTAACCTGAATTTAGACAATATACTTTGCTCTGGGAAATTAATAAGATTTAGAATGAGTAAAAGTTTTCTATAAATTATATATCTGAAATGAGGATAGAGACAAGTCATATTTTAAAACTGAAACTTTGGATTTGTAAATTTCCTTTGCCATCCTTTAGTGGAGTCCTAAAATTCACTTTGGTCCTTGACTCCTTGATTCTATCTATATAATATGCCTCAAGTTAATTCCTTAACAGTACTAGAATTTTAACATGGAGTTCCAAACACATTAAAGTATTATAGTTCTTGGTAAATAAAACATAACTAAAGAGCATAACTAAAGAGGGATATCTGAGGATGATAGTGCTTTGCACTCTAATTTATAGAGATAGCATGTCTTTCATTTTTTTATGAGGATCGAGATGGACTCAGCATTCAACACAGTCAATTTATTTTTGTTTTGAGGCTAATATAAAAAGTACTAATCTTCCTCCAAAGAAATAATACTTTGATAATACTTGAGGCAAACATGAAATCAAATTCTATCAAAATTTGCTGTACATCTTGCCATTCTTTTGTCCCAAGCCCATGTGTATTTTAGAAATGACTAAACAAATATGGATTTTATAGAATATAAGGCCTTTCTATATTTGATCTTCTAGAGTTAGTATTTACCTTTGGTGCTCTGTTGATGAAGATGGCATATAAGATAATCAGGCACAGGAAAAGGAGGGAGGATAAACATAAGTAGTTCTTTCCCTTAGTCAATTAATTAAATTATATCTAAAAATCAGTAGTGACTTTAAAAATTATACTTATAGCAGTATTTTTAAAATCATACTTTTGATATAATTTTTAGACAATTCTATAATTTTCCTTCAGGTAACTTAGAAAGAGAAGAATAGATAACCTGCATAATACCTAACATAGTACTGGCTGCTATAAGAAAGAAAACACAATGTAAGCTGTATTTTATTTGAAATGTATTGTTGGGCTTTCTTTGATTTTATTTTTATATAAAACCTTGATAACATTTTAATTTTTTTATTTTTATATATAAATCAGCAACAAAAGTATTTTCAACTTGTAAATTTGATATAGTGATCCTTCTACTATTGTAAGAGGAGACCTTCCAATATGTAAATAAAATTAAGGACTTAATAGTTATTATTCCAACTGCTCCTAAAACACTCAAAAAATAAGCTTATAATTGCCTAAATTTCCTGTTTAAGTTTCTTCTTTTTGGATCATTTTCTTTTTTCTAAATCACGCTGATATTTCACTTTGGAATGAATCAGATAGTGTGTGAGGGCCTATGCTGCCAGATTCTTATTATTTGATGGGGCTATTTCAAATAGCTCTTCCTGCCAAAAATTTCACTGTCAATAAGAAAAATTCCTGTAAACTATCAGTAAGACTTTTAAAACTCATCAAACACATTTTTCCCACCAAATATAAGAAAACAGCCTGCCTTATATAGACTAAATCTTTGGTTGTCTTTTCCCCTATGGGCATGCTTACCAATCCAAGGTGATTGCTACTCTTCCTATTTCCTTTAAACAACTTTTTAATTCTAAAAATAAACATCAAAGTTATATATGAAGACTAGATGTATCATCGCATGACCCTTAAGAAGCTTATATGCCTATATATGATCAATAATAGAGTTATAATAATAGAACTTTAAGTATGTTTGCAAATGTATTTTTTAAAATGTAATCTTCATTGGTAAGAGAGAATGATTATTTATTTTGCTGATAAAGTTTCAAGGTGACATAAGAATCAATATGTATCTGTTAGAAACAATTGTTTCTCATTCTTACAAACTTTACTTTTAGTTTTGCCTGACAAGTGATCAAAGTAAAATGACCAAGGTATTTGAGAGATTTAAATTAGTAGGTTGAATCATAATTTAGCAATCACTGGGTTAATCTTCAGCCATGGCTATAACAATTAGCACAAATACACTGATTTAAAGTAACAAGAATTTGTCATTTTCTAGTTCTGGAAGGGAGACCCCTGAAATGGGTCTCCCTGGACTAATCAGTGCATCAGCAGTGTTGTTTTCTCCTGAATGATTTAGGGGACAGTTAGTTCTTTATCTTTTATCTATCATGCTTTAGATGTGTCCCTGTTCTTTAACTCTTGACTTCCTTTCAGCCTTCAAAGACAACAAATACTGGTTGAATTCTTTTCATGTTAAACTATATAGTCTCACTTTTCAGCTTCCCTCGTCTATACGTAAGGACTCTGATAATCACAAGGGAATCACTTGGATAATTTTGAATCATTACTCTCATTTTTCAAAACAATAGGAATCTGCCTAAGAGGTGGTCTGGGGGGACATAGGTCTACTCTTGACTTGACTCATTCTTTTATATAGGCCTGATAATTTAGTGCTCTGGGCTGGCATTGCCGTGTCTGGCGATTGGCTATGCTAGGGGACTCGAGAGTCACAATCAGCAGTGTTTGGGATCCAAGGGGGCTATATCCTGCAGAGTGCCAACAGGTCAGCTTGTACTAAGGACTCAACTCAGGGATCAAATAGTTCAGACATGCTCTTCATCCCTTTTAGCCATATCCCAAATCTTTATTTCTCTCTTTTAATACCAGCTAATAATCATATTTAATCTATTACATAATAACCCATTATCAGGTAATATAGTCATAGTTTCCTGGGATTTATATTTAAACATCCTTATTCTGCCTACTGCAGTTATTTATTAGGGTTCACCTTGAATTTGAACTAAATTTTAAGATCACGTGAATTTATCCACTAATAAGCAATCCAATTTTTTTTGGTTTGTATAAACTGAACTCAAGGGAATTCACTTCACTTATTTGTTTATTTTTATTTATCCTTGTACATAAATTTACTAGCACTGTAGTACTGTCCTCCCGTTGTTCATCGAATTGCTTGAGCGGGACCAGTAACGTCTCCATTGTGAGACTTGTTGTTACTGTGTTTTGCATATCGAATATGTCACGGGGAGCTTGCCAGGCTTTGCTGTGCGAGCAAGATACTCTCGTAGCTTGCTGGGTTCTCCAAGAGGGGCGGAGGAATAGAACCCGGCTCGGCGGGGCCGGCCATGTGCAAGGAAAATGCTGTGCTATCGCTCCAGCCCACAAATTTACTATGTATTCATAATTTTTTAAGCTTCAAGTATTTTTAAATAGCAATTCCCTTTGTTAATTGAATTTATAAATGATATAACTATGTTTTAACTTGATTTACAAATAAAATATAATTATTTTAAATTGAAATATGTAGGACTTGAAAATCCTGTATATTCTATCTTCCTTAGAGGCTTAAAAAAGAGGTCTATGGCATCATAATTACATCAATAAGGGGAACTAATGTGCTGGAAATATTAAATTTATTTACTTATTCATGTTCATTAATGATTATGTCCATTAATACTAACTTTATCAAATATTTAATATGGAATGTCAAAACCAATTTCATATGTTATATATTCATTATTATGTAATGAAATAATCTCTAAATTAGAAAAATACAAACAAAGTACACATATAAGATTATTTTAATCCAAAGAAAGGTTTTATACCAATACAAATTCCTCTTTGCTCTTTCCAGGTAAATTTCAAATTTATTTTCCTCTTTCTATACTTAAGCTTTGAACCTTTCTGGAAAGGTAACACTGTATGCTTAGTTGAATCTTCTATTACATAGAAAAGTATTTTTGCCATAGGAACCTTTTTAAATTTCAAAGAATCTTCCCTTTACAATAAAAATAATAGGTTGTAGTTCTTTCATCTCTGCATCATGAAAATACAATTTCCTTTTCCATACACCTCTATTTATTATTTTAACCCTTCATATTAAAATGTGTGGTTTGACTTTATGTCACATCTATTTACAGTGTAAAATTATATGCTGCAAGTAAATTTAAAATAGAACACTATATCATCTGCACTCTAAGTCAGATCACATTATTTTAGTTTATACACCATTTTTTTGGAAAACAAATTTGTTAATTTTCATATGATATATACATGAGATTATGCAAAAAAAAAAAACCCTTTCCATTAAAGACTTAGAGGCTTTAATTTGCCAAATTATTTTAACAGAATTTTAAAGTAAGTGTAAATTACCATTGGCCTGGATAAGTTAGTAAGTATGTCTTTGAAAGGCAAATATAGCAAGACTAGCAAGGATATAAAATAATTAAGCAATGTAGAGAATGAGCAATTAACATTTATAGCATGTGAAATATTTTAAGCAATCATACAATCACTGCACTTACAACTCATTATGGTTAACCTTATAAAAGCAGGGATGGGTAATAAATTAAAAACAAGAGTTCTGCTAAGTTTACATGCTGCAGCTGAAGAACTGAGAATGTAGAAGACTTGTTCCAGGCCACATGGCAGCTACTCATCTGTTCCAGATAGAGCAGGAAATCCATCAGATGTTCTAGCGCTGCTTTAGCAGTGGCAGAAGTGGAAGCCTGTGTATCCCACAGTACCAGAGGGAGGACCTGAAGTCTTTTGTGGAATTAACTAAAGGGAATCAGAACCATTGTAGAAAATGATTTCTGCTGGTGGCTTATTATCTTTTACATCTGCGCTACATACTTTTGCTGACCAGTAGTTAAAACCACTAGGTTCTGCTTGCTCATTAGTCTTTATAAATTTTTTTATTGCATCAC